TGTGTTTGTGCTGAGGTTTTGTCTTTATACAGTGAGTTACAGGGAGTGTTTGAGAAGTTCCTCATTGTAAAGTTCAGCTGCGGTATTTACACATACTTACCCTCATTTTCCTGTCCTGACATGACAGAGTTCTGTTCCTCTAGGCATGAACACACACACACACACACACACACACAGCGATGAATCAGCCAAGCATGAATAATTCACAGTGACTCTGCAGAACAAGATGAAACACTGCATTAACATTCCTTATTTAAAAAGCAAAGAGAGCAAAGAATTTGAGGGAATCCGAGGAGAACTGTGTTTGGAGAAAGAGAGAAACCCTGTTTACACCTGTCAGTAAAGGCCATACATTACAGGAATAGTTCACCCAAAAATTAGAATTTCCTGAAAATGTCCTCACCCTCAGGCCATCCAAGATGTAGATTTTTTTTTTCCTTCATAGGAACAGATTTGGAGAAATGTAGCATTGCATCACTTGCTCACCAATGGATGTGAATGGGTGCCGTCAGAATGAGAGTCCAAACAGCTGATAAAAACATCACAATAATCCACAAGTAATCCACACCACTCCAGTCCATCAGTTAACATCTGGAGAAGACAAAAGCTGAGACAAATCTAGCATTAAGACGTTTTTAACTCAAATACGAGTCCATAATCCATAATAACACTTCCTCCAGTGAAAAAGTGCATCTCCTATTGTCTCTCACATCAAAATCCAGCCACATATTAGTTTAGAGCCGTTTTAAACGGTGCTTGATCTGTGCAGATTTCTCTCCTGATTCACACCAGAACACTTTTTCACTGGAGGAAGAGTTATTATGGATTATGGACTCGTCTTAAATCGTCTTAATGCTGGATTTGTTTCAGATTTTGTCTTCTCCAGATGTTAACTGATGGACTGGAGTGCTGTGGATTACTTGTGGATTATTGTGATGTTTCTCTCATTCTGACGGCACCCAATGTGTTTTTGACAGGTCTGGGAGAAAGAGGACGTATGGTCATCCTACATTTATTCATGTGATTAAGAGATGGTTCTTTAAAGAACCTTTGACTAAATGGTTCTTTGTGGAACCAAAAAGGGTTCTTCTATGGCATCGCTTGAAGAACCTTTTGAAGCACCTTTATTTTTAAGAGTGTATTCTTTTAAATTACTATTTCACCTAATAGTGCCGTTTACATTGTCTGCATCAGAGCACATTGTAATGTGTCATTGTTTTTCCACTGGTGAAAGATGAACCGCTCAGCAGGGGTTTTAATCATTTCCACACTAGAGAAACATCTCCACGAGTGGGTCCTTCTGCTCCGCGAAGATAAATAACTCGACTGAAATGAGCTGCAGTCCGACCTCTGATACTCCCAGAGATATTTTAAACCTGAACACGCAGGCCATTTTACCAGTAAATGACGACCGAAGCAAGCCGTGACGCAAGATAAAAGCTGCTGGATAAAACAATCCTTCGAGTTTCCATTCCAGAGCTGCCTCGAGCTCAACCCAGCTGTTTGTTTTACTGGGAAACGCTCTTGAGGGCTGGAGGCAGACGTTTAACGAGGTTACACAGAATTCATTATCACTCAGATTCACAGATTCTGGATTTCTGTCATCATTTACTATAAAAGTCTGTTGACCATGTAGTGTTTTCTTTCGTCCGTGAAACTGAAAACAAGAGGTTTAGCAGAATGCTCACGCTGCTCTTTTTTTTATACAAGACAAGTAGATTTGTGTGGAGACAAAACAAACACGAGTCCATTAAAATTTCTTGCAATCAACAGTTGAAATGTTTTCAGAAAATTCTGATATTAGAATGGAACGACATGTTGTTTTGGTGTTTTTATATGACAACATCCTAAACTGTAAAAACTACTATTTAAACAACAGTTTATAAAATAATAAACCTCACATTTCAGCCTAATGAATGATTATGCAGTATGTTATATCCATCTTATTTTGCAATGCGGGAGTAAACCGTTTTTTGTTTTTGTGAATGTGCGATTCTTTAGCCTCTATAGGTAAATAACTAGAAGAATAACAATATGTAATCGATAAAACTATTTGCGCTGCAAACCAGTGTGTTTAGGAATCTGAAAATAAATGTTAAACAATCTGATAATACATGCATTATGAGCTGTTTCTGTACAGCTAAAATAAATAGACTTATAGAATAGAGTTACTAATGGCCACACTATTAGAAAAATGACAAGAAAATCCAACTGAAATTTCTCAGACACAGTTCCCTTCAGATAGATTCATAAAGCTGAATATATGAATAAAAACTCCTTGGATTTGCAACAATAATGTGAATATCAATGTTAGAAAAGTTGAATGTGAACTAGTAAATGGTGCTCACAGGACATAAAAACATGCTTGGGTAAGTCATAATTATTCGATTAAAATATTCAAAATTATGATACAAGTAGTCTTTTTTTTTGCCTTATCTAATAATTTTGAATTTCGACTCATAATTTCACTTTTTGTCATAATTTCAACTTTTTATCTCATAACTATGACTTAGTATGTCATAATTGTGACTTTTTCCTCTCATAATTATGACTTTTGGCATAACTGACTTTTTATGTCATAATTTCGACTTTATATGTCAGTTTCGACTTAGTATGTCATAATTTCACTTTTTGTCATAATCTCTCACTTTTTATATCATAATTTAGTTTTTGTCATCATTTTGACTTAGTATGCCATAATTTTGTATTTTTATCTCATAATTATGACTGTCATAATTTAACTTTTTGCCATAATTTTGATTTAGTATGCCATAATCTCATTATGACTTAGTATGCCATAATTTTGTATTTTTATCTCATAATCATGACTGTCATAATTAAACTTTTTGCCATAATTTTGATTTAGTATGCCATAATCTCATTATGACTTAGTATGCCATAATTTCGACTTTTTCATCTCATAATTATGACGTTTTGTCATAATGTTTTACTTATCTCATAATTATGACTTAGTATGTCAATTTCAGTTTTTGTCATAATTTTGACTTATTTCGTAACTATGACTTAGCAGGCCTATGTCATAATTGTGATTTGTGACTTATCTCATAATTGACTTTGCCGTAATTTTGACATTTGTATTTCATAATTATGATTTAGCATGTCATAATTTCACTTTTTGCAATAATCTCTCACTTTTTATATCATAATTGAGTTTTTGTCATCATTTTGACTTAGTATGCCATAATTTTGTATTTTAATTTTGACTTTTTTTTATAATTATGACTTAGTATGTCATAATTTCACTTTTTGCCATAATTTTGACTTATTTCGTAACTATGACTTAGCAGGCCTATGTCATAATTGTGATTTGTGATTTATCTCATAATTGACTTTTTTATCTCATAATTGACTTTGCCGTAATTTTGACATTTTTATTTCATAATTATGATTTAGTATGTCATAATTTCACTTTTTGCAATAATCTCTCACTTTTTATATCATAATTGAGTTTTTGTCATCATTTTGACTTAGTATGCCATAATTTTGTATTTTTATCTCATAATTTAACTTTTTGCCATAATTTTGATTTAGTATGCCATAATCTCATTATGATTTAGTATGCCATAATTTCGATTTTTCATCTCATAATTATGACGTTTTGTCATAATGTTTTACTTATCTCATAATTATGACTTAGTATGTCAATTTCACATTTTGTCATAATTTTGACATTTATTTCATGAGTATGACTTAGTATGTCAGTTTCACTTTTTGTCACAATTTTGACTTAGTTTGTCATAATTTCAACATTTCATGTCATAATTACGCCTTAGGATATTATAATTACGACATTTAAAGTCTTCATTTAAACTTTTCACTAAATCATGATTTGTTTTGCGCTCTGTTTACACCAGACAAGCATTAGCAGCAGAGGAAGGTCAGCGGACCGAGGCTCAAGGTACAACAGTGTGGCTTTAACTGCATGTTTGTTTACATGCTGCCCAAAACTACAGGAATGACACTGTTTACATGAAACTAAAATAATGTAGGGTTTTGAAGCAGCACAGAGCCTTTCATCAGACACATGAGAGACGTCAGTGTTAGAAGTGAGATTGATTCTGTACCTTATTTCTGTCCTGAACAACAAGGACTTTGCCGTTGGATTCGTCCACAACAGCACCTTTAAACAAGACAACAAGACATAAAACATGGTTTTATATGCTTCAAGAAAGCTACCTGCAAAGCTACAGTACTGTTAAAAGTTTCAGGCACTTGTGTAAAATGCTGTAAAGTGAGGATGCTTTCAAAAATAATGTCATGAATAGATTTTTTTATCAATTAACTTCTATTAACTAAATGAAATCAACATTTTGTGTGACCTTCCTTTGCGTTTAAAGCAGCTTTTGCCCTCGGTGCACTTGAGCAGAGTTTCTCAAGAGCTTTGCAGTGAGGTTTCTTGAACCTGCATTTATAACTTTTTAGTTTTACACTAGATTATAAACTAAGAGTGATTTAAGAATTTACTAAATGTGGATTAACATGTTTTAACCCTATAAACTGTATCATATTTGATACACAAATTTCCTGTAAATGATGAACATGATCAAACTTTGCTGTTAAATGTGTTTCTCACACAATCTCCTCATGTCTTTATTTCTTCAGCTCTCAATCACTGCATTATATGTTTGGATCATTTCAATCTCATTTTACTGAGACAGATTACTGCAGATATAGAGTGACCACTGATATTTATTTAGATCATTTTATGTCAGTATCATGCACTACTGTTATAAAGATCTCATTGATTTACATTACAAGCATCAGAATAAAACTGAGCTGTTTTTTCCCCTCCATTTTCTCACTTAGTCTATAAGAGCCTTAAAATCCTGATGGATCAAATATGATCCTCAACAAATAACCTTGTGAGATTGCTATTGCTGCTCTGAAATGGTCCTATAAATGCTTAACAATGAATCCAGCTATGGTCTAAATAAAAGCACACAGAGGATGTTGGTTTGGAAGTCGTTCAGAAAGGAAATGCGGTCAGATTATTCACTGCTAGAATATTCCAGTCGTGGGATTCACCTTCACAGCATTCGGCTTTAATCAAACACAAACAATGCCAGACTGAGCTCATACCGTCTTTCTGGGCATGTTTGGACATGTCTGTGTCCGGACCGGAGGAGCGGCGCCGCCTGCTGGTGAAGGACCCTAAACCTGAGTCATATATGTGACCCTGGAGCACAAACCAGTCATAAGGGTCAATTGAAATAAATAAGCTTTCCATTGATGTATGGTTTGTTAGGATAGGACAATATTTGTCTGAGATGCAACTATTTGAAAATCTGGAATCTGATGGTGCAAAAAAATCTAAATATTGAGAAAATCATCTTTAAAGTTGTTCAAATGAAGTTCTTAGCAATGCATATTACTAATCAAAAATGAAGTTTTGATATGTTTACAGTAGGAAATGTACACAAAATCTTCATGGAACATGATCTTTACATGATCTTCATATTATTTAGTCAATTTGGGGAGGAGGGAATGATGCATGAAGATGTTTTAGGAAAAGGTTTAATGGATAGACAGGTATACAGAGCACTAATTAAATATGTATGTGACCTTTGACCACAAAAGCAGTCATAAGTAGCACAGGTATATTTGTAGCAATAGCCAACAATACATTGTATGGGTCAAAATTATCCATTTTTCTTTTATGCCAAAAATCATTAGGATATTAAGTAAAGATCATGTTCCATGAAGATATTTTGTAAATTTCCTACCGTAAATATATCAAAACTTAATTTTTGATTAGTAATATGCATTGCTAAGAACTTCATTTGAACAACTTTAAAGACGATTTTCTCAATATTTAGATTTTTTTGCACCCTCAGATTCCAGATTTTCAAATAGTTGTATCCCTTATGACTGGTTTTGTGCTCCAGGGTCAAATTTATTCATCTGGACTTGTCTAGTAAGCTCAGATCTACAGCGGTTCAGGGTCTCTCCATGGAAGGGCATCAGTGAGTGCTACATTAGGACAGAAGATCTTCTTATCCATGCCATACTCCTTTTTCTACTCTTCCACCCAAAACGATATCCTCCATCATATGAATGTTCCCAACACTCCTTACCAGTGAGATACTCATTCTGCTCTTACCAGCGACTCCTACTTGATGTGTGGCGAACGAAGGCAGTCTGTCCTCTCCCGGTCCGAGCCAGAAACATGTCAATACACTCTATATTATATGCACTAAGATCAATAGTTCAAGAAATTACTTTTATTCATCAATAATGCATTAAATGTATCAAAAGTGGCAGTAAAGGTTGCATTTAGCTGATCAAAAATGGTGAAATATTATTACTATTTCAAATAACTGTGTTCTATGTGAATATCTGTTAAACTGTAATGTATTTCTGTGATCAAAGCTGTATTTTCAGCATCATTACTCCAGTCTTCAGTGTCACATGATCTTCAGAAATCATTCTAATATGCATTCTGATTATCAATGTTAAAAACAGTTAAAACAAAATAAACATAAATACTTTTATTCAGCAAGGACACATTACATTGATCAAATGTGAAAGTAAAGACATTTATAATGTTAGAAAAGATTTCTATTTCAAATAAATTTCTATTCATCTGTGTTTCTATTCATCTGTGAATCCTAAAAAGCCCTGGTGAGCAGAAGAGACTTCTTTCAGAAACATAAAAAATCTTTCCAAACTTTTTAGTGGTGATGCATGTATAATATATTTGTGTTTATCCTGTAAAAAAGCAAAGTTTAAAGATTTTGTAAATAATAATAATAATAATAATAATAATAACAAACATTATGACATAAAGTGTATAAGAAATATCTTAAAAACTATTTCTAGGTGATCCAAATGTGCTTAAATGACTATCATTGATCAGGTCAGATGCTCTTGCTATATATATATATATAAGCCAAACACTAAGACGTTAGTATTTTTCTTTTATTAATATAGCTTATATTAGTCTATATATTATATTTAATTACATTTAATTTGAACTCAAATGAATGACAACGTAATCTGTATGCAAACAAACAAAACAAGTAAAAACTGAAAAACTGGAAAATCAATGTGCTACTCTGTAATATGATTTGCGGAAAAGCAGCTGTGCGCTTGACTGCACAACACAGACGGAAATACATGCATGCATACTGTACATAACACGCAATGCCATTTACAGACATCGCACTGTACTTATGCATGACGTCATTATTATGTATTTCATGTTGATGTTTGTCGATGATTACGCTCCTGTACCCCGCAGCAGCTCGCTGAACTCGTCCTCGCTGATGTCCGGCGGAAAGTCTCGCACCGTCACGCCTCCGAACCGATCCACATCCCCGGCCAGCGGAGGCCAGCGGAGCCGCTCCTGACAGCCGGAGCCGAAGCGAGCCGAGCCGGCGGAAACAGCCGAGGAGACCCGGCGGAGCACAGAAGAGACCCGGCAAAACCCGGCGGACATGATCCAGCTCACCATGACTCAAAACAACCAGCAGCCGAGCCGACGCGTAATTACTCCAGTACTGGCGCATATTAAATTGCATAACCGCTTTAATGCTGAGGTTTTTAATTTTTAACACACGGACCCCAAATATGATCATCCTCGTACGAGAGACCCCATCCTAAAATTAACAATACATGTATTCTTGTATAAGACCCAATTCATACCGTGAAAAACCAATGTAATAAATAATAATTAATAAATATAAAAAGTTTATTTGGAAAAAATTGTTACATTATTATTTTTTACATTTCCTTTGTTATTTAATCTAATTTTTATTATTTATTTATTTTAATCTCATTTTAATTTATTTTTTATTTACTAATGTATTTAGTAATTAATTAATTAGTATTTTATTTTTACTTTAATCTCATTTTTATTTACTTATTTACTTATTTTTAGTTACGCATTTATTTACTTATTTATTTTAATCTGTTAGTTCGTTGGTTTAGTATGTTGATTTATGTAGTTATTGTTTATTTGAATCTATTTATTTATTTTCATGTTTATTTATTAATTAATTAATTATTTATTTGCTTGTTTTAATCTGTTTTTTTATTTAATCTAATTTTTGATTATTTATTTATTTTAATTTATTATCCTTTTATTTACTCATTTATTTAATTTTGATCTAATTTTATTTGTTATTATTTAATTACTCGTTTGTTTACTATTTATTTTAATCTATTTGTTTGTTTGTTTTAATCTCTTTATTTATTTTCTTTAATCTATTGTTTACATTTATTTATTTTAATCTCATTTTTATCTATTATTTATTTATTTTACTGTCATTTATTTATTTGTTTTAATCTATTTTTATGTTTTGTATTAATCTAATGAATTAATTCATTTTAATCTTTAAAACATTTTGGGTTTAAGCACTTTAGTGGTACCATAGTTCAATATTATGATATCCGACTGCAATACCATGGTACTTGAATAGATATATAATATCAATATAAGTAAACGCACAGGGGTTCGTGTCGATAAAGGATGTATTGTGTAAGTGAGGTTTTAAGGCCTTTATATTGTGTGTTTTACGGTATCTGAGGGGAGGAGCTGAACTTTCACATCGGGAAGTTTACATTCACGTGTGTGTGTGTGTGTGTCATTTTTTGCTTACATTGTGGGGAGTCTGGGGACCAAATGTCAACAGTCCCCACAAGGCAAATGACTGATAGTTCACCAAAAAGCAAAATTCTGTCATAATTTACTCACCTAAATGTGGTTCCTATCTATTACGGTCTTCTGTGGAACACAATAAGGATGTTTTGTTTTGTCTATACAATTAGGTCCAAAGTCAATGGAGTCCAAAACAAACAGTGGCTGACTTTCTTTCAGGAAAAACATGCATGTATCTACATTTTTGTACCTAGGTACCTATGCCATTACCTCAAAACACTTTTACCATACTTTTACCATTACCATAACACATTTGGACATTTGCATTGCATAGTCAACTTCATATGTATGGCTTTTCTGATGTAGTAAACTTGCTCAGTAGCTTACCTTATACAGCACTGCACTTGAGTCACAATAAGTGTGTGTGTTTAACACACATCAAACATCATGTCATCCAGCAAAGGAGAAGGGAAGAAAAGGAGACAGATCCGTGTTAGTCTGAAATGAACTGGACTCGAGCGGAGGACTGACGGTCACAGACTTCATAGACAGAGGTAACATTCATTGATTAAAGAGAATAAATGAGTCAAACATGATAAACTTCACCTATAATTGAACCTATAATGGTTTGGAGGGCAGGTGTTTTGATGAACTTTAAGATGTTTAAAGGTGCACTCAAGTCATTTTATACTAATTGAAAAGTTAACAGCCTTTTCTGATGATGGCATTAAAGTGGCTTCCATTCACATAAGATGAGACTCCAGACATTGACTTTGCATTAAACACATTGACATGAACTCTTCTGTGAAGCTCTTCACAAGATTTTGAGTGTTTTTTTTTTGTGGGAATTTTTGCTCATTCATCCAGTAGAGCATTTGTGAGGCCAGACACTGATGTTGGATGAGAAGGTTTGGGTCTCAGTCTCCGTTCCTGTTCATCCTAAAGATGTTGTTTGATGGGTTTGAGTAGTGATGGGAGAAACGAACCTTTTCGAAGCTTCGAATCAATTGATTCGCAAAACGACTCACTGTTTCGAAGCGTTCGAAGCACCGCTCGCTGGTGACGCCTGCTGGTCAAAAGCGTGTAAATGCAACAAAAACTCAGGCTAAAACGTGCATAAAACAGCTTTTAAAACCCATTGCATATGCTTTATTGAAAGTATACTACATTAAATGCAATAAAAATAATAAAATACCATTTAATATGAAGTGTCTGTATAATATGTGGTTTTAAAATATTTTATATTAATTTGCAGGGCTTGCTTTGTTTGTTTTATGGACAGCTTCTATATAGAGGCCAGCAAGAGACTATTAACCACTTTCTTCTCATCCTTTTAATTACACAGATGTCTCGTTAAAAATGTCTAGTTTCGAAGCTTCACGAAGCAGTGCTTCGAAAGCAGCCATCACTTATAGGTTTGAGAACAGGATTGTGTGTTCTTCCACACAAGACTCATCCAACCGTGTCTTTATGGACCTTGCTTCGTGCAGGATTAGAAAGGCTCTTCCTCAAACTGATCCCACAATGTTGGAAGCACAGCATTGTCCAGAATGTCTTGATTTCCCTTCATCAGCCCATCCTCTGAAAAACAGCCCCACACCATCATCCCTCCTTCACCAAACTCTACAGTCGACACAACGCAGTCAGACATGATATTCTCCTGAAATCATCAAACCCAGACTCACCCATCAGACTGAAGTGTTATCATAATCAGATAAGCATTATCCTATCACAGTCCCATGCTCTGAGCTCTTCAGAACCACTTGTTTTTTTCCACAAACGTTTATAAATGCAGACTGCATGACTAGTGTTTATACACCTGTGGCAATTGATCCGTATCGTGTGTGTGTATATAAATATATACGCATAAAATACACATATACATACTCCCATTCAGAGTTTAGGGATCAATAAGACTTTGTATTGTTTTTGAAAGAAGTCTCTTCTGCGCATCAAGGCTGCATTTATTTGATAAAAAATACAGTAAAATTGTAACATATTAATACAATTTAAAACAGCTGTTTTCTATGTGAATATCTGTTAAACTGTAATTTAGTTCTGTGATGCGCAGCTGTATTTTCAGCATCATTACTCCAGTCTTCAGTGTCACATGATCTTCAGAAATCATTCTAATATGCCGATTTGCTGCTCAAGAAACATTCTGATTATTATCAATGCTGAAAACAGTTGTGCTGCACAATATTTCTGTGGAAGAAACGAACCTTTTCGAAGCTTCGAATCAATTGATTCGCAAAACGACTCACTGTTTCGAAGCGTTCGAAGCACCGCTCGCTGGTGACGCCTGCTGGTCAAAAGCGTGTAAATGCAACAAAAACTCAGGCTAAAACGTGCATAAAACAGCTTTTAAAACCCATTGCATATGCTTTATTGAAAGTATACTACATTAAATGCAATAAAAATAATAAAATACCATTTAATATGAAGTGTCTGTATAATATGTGGTTTTAAAATATTTTATATTAATTTGCAGGGCTTGCTTTGTTTGTTTTATGGACAGCTTCTATATAGAGGCCAGCAAGAGACTATTAACCACTTTCTTCTCATCCTTTTAATTACACAGATGTCTCATTAAAAATGTCTACAAATCGATCAAACTGATCTGAGATCAGGTAAAAATAATAGACGGTGGTTCAATGGTTCGCCGCTGGGGGGCGATCTCAATAAAATTGCATGACTCACGGGTTCACAGGGATCATCGCCCCCCAACGGCAAACCATTGAGATTTCGAAATGTTTCAAAACAGTTATGATGTAACAAAGCCTCGTTTACTGAAATCACGTGACTTTGGCAGTTTGATACGTGCTACGAAGCACTGTTTTGAAACAAATGATTCGCAAAGGTTTCGAAGCTTCACGAAGCAGTGCTTCAAAAGCACCCATCACTAGTGTTTTACAGTGGTAACATTGGGTAGTAACATAGCCACTTTTTACTTTCACATCAATTAGTTTGGCAACGGAGTGAAGCCCAGAAATCATTCTAATATGCCGATTTGCTGCTCAAGAAACATTCTGATTATTATCAATGCTGAAAACAGTATTTTTGTGGAAACACATATTGTTAGAAACGGTATCTATTTCAAATAAATGCTGTTCTTGTTAACTTTCTATTCATCAAATAATGCTGAAAAATGTATTGCAGGTTCCAAAAAAATTAAGCAGCACAATTGTTTCCAGCACTGATAATAAATCAGCATATTCAAATGATTTCTGAAGATCATGTGCCACTGAAGACTGGAGTAATGATGTCTTTATTCCAAACCTCATGCATTCAGTTTGAACCTAATGGCTCCTAATGGATTATACTTAAATAGATTATATTTCAAATTTACATTTACATTTGAATACTGCATCAGTCTGTGTGTGTCTGGTCTGGGTCTCTGGTCACACTGCAGCTGATCACTGGAGCCGAACACATGCAGCTGACGCTCAGGTCAACCTCACCAGAGATCATCACACTCCAGGAAACATCAGTGAAGATGCAGTCTTTATCTCAGCGCAGCTGTAACTGTGAGGGAGTGTCGCCATCTGCTGCTGGAGAGCACAAACACACACTTGGCCAGGGTTTAATGATTTGACTGGTTAGATAAAGCTAGATAATAGTACATTTGTGACATATCGTCAAATACCACAGATTGGAATCCTTACTCGTCCCAAAAGTCATGTGGACAGTAATACACTTAAAATGAAAGTAAATGGGCCAAGAGTGCTTGAAAGTTTAAAAGAAGACATCCTCTGTTTGTATTTTTATTTGTGCACATTTTAAATGTATTTATTTATTTGTATTTGTATTTTTTATTTTTGGCACAAATGTGCACTTTTCCCCCTTCTTTATTGTTATTAGAGCTGTAAAGTGGTTCTAAATCAGTGATTCCTGCTACTACTGCTGTAATCACAAAGCTGCTAATTCTCAAACTTTATTTACAGAAACTAGGAGT